CAATAATATTAAAATGTCAATTCTCCCCAAACTGATCTATTAATACATATTCAATGCAATTTCAATCAAAATCTAAGCAGCCTTTTTGGTAGTATTTGATAAGCTGATTTGAAAACTTATAGGGAAAAGCTAAGGACCTAGAATAGACAAAACAATTTTGAAAAGAAGAACAATACTGGATGACTCACATTACTTTATTTCAAGACTCACAATAATGCTATGGTAGTTTAAGATACTGTAGTATTGGTATAAAAACAGAGCAATGGAACAGAATAGATTCCAAAAACAGACCCAAAGAAAAATAGTAGATTGATTTTCCACAAAGGTGCCAATGGAAAAAGGGCAGTTTTTTCAACAAATAGTGCTAGAACTATCAAAAAATAAACAACAACTTATGCTTTGCATTATATACAAAAATCAACTAGAAATAGATCATGGACTTAAATATAAAACATAAAACAATAAAATTTCTAAAAGAAAACATTGGAGAATATTGTTGTAACTTGGGTTATACAATGATTTTCTTGGATGGGACACAAGAAATATGAACAACAAAAGAAAAAATGCTAAACTAGATTTCATCAAAATCAAAAACTGATCTTTGTTAGATACTGTTAATAAAATGAAAAGACAAGCCACAGACTAGAAGAAAATACAAACTACATACTTGACAAAGAACTTACATCTAAGAACTCTCATAAGATGATGATGAACAACCTGATTTTTAAAAATGAGCAAAAGTTTGAACACTGTATGCAACAAAAGATATGGATGAGAAACAAGCACATTAAGAGATGCTCAACAGATATGTAATTGTGTAAATTAAAACCACAATGAGGCCGGGCACGGTGGCTCACGCCTGTAATCCTAGCACTCTGGGAGGCCGAGGCGGGAGGATTGCTCAAGGTCAGAAGTTGGAGACCAGCCTGAGCAAGAGTGAGACCCCATCTCTACTAAAAATAGAAAGAAATTAATTGGCCAACTAAAAATACATAGAAAAAATAAGTGGAGAATGGTGGCGCATGCCTGTAGTCCCAGCTACTCAGGAGGCTGAGGCAGAAGGATTGCTTGAGTCCAGGAGTTTGAGGTTGCTGTGAGCTAGGCTGACGCCACAGCACTCTAGCCGGAGCAACAGAGTGAGACTCTACCTCAAAAAAAAAAACAAAACCACAATGAGATATCACTACATACACACCTACTAGCAAACTAACATTAAAAAGAAGACAATAATGTCCATGTTGCCCAAAGTGATTTACAGATTCAATGTAATTCCCATAAAAATACCAATGTTATATTTCACAGATCTAGAAAAAATAATCCTAAGCTTCACATGGAACCAAAAAGAGCCAAATAGCCTCTTTTGCTTAGGGAAGCAAAAGAACAAATCAGAAGGTATCACATTAGCTGACTTCAAATTATACTACAAGACTATAATAACCAAAACAGCATGGCACTGGTATAAAAGCAGAGACATAGACCAATGGAACATGATAGAGAACACAGAAATAAAGACATATAGCTACATTCAACTGATTTTCAACAAAGCAACAACAAAAATAAATAAATGGGACTTAATTAAATTAAAAAGCTTCTGCACAGCAAAGAAAATAATCAACAGAGTAAATAGACAACTTACAGAATGGTAGAAAATATCTGCAAACTATACATCTGACAAAGGACTATAATATCCAGAATCTATAAAAAACTCAAATCAGCAAGAAAAAAACAAACAACCCCATCAAAAAGTGGGCAAAAGATATGAACAGAATTTTTTGAAAAGAAGATAGACAAATGGCCAGCAAACATGAAAATGTGTTCAATATCACCAAACTTCAGAGAAATGCAAATGAAAACTACAATGAGATACCACCTTACCCCTTTCAGAATGGCCATCATTAAAAAGTCAAAAAACAGGCTGGACATGGTGGCTCATACCTATAATCCTAGCACTTTGGAAGGCTGAGGTGGGAGGATCAGCTTGATGACAGGAGTTTGAGACCAGTCTGAGCAACAAAGTGAGACCCTGTGTCTACAAAAAATAATTAGCCAGGAGTGGTGGTAGGCTCCTATGGTCCTAGCTACTCGGGAGGCTGATGCAGGAGGATCACTTGAGCCCAGGAGTTTGAGGCTGCAGTGAGCTATGATGATGGCACTGCACTTTAGCCTGGGAAAGAGAGGGAGGAAGGGAGGAGAGGAGAAGGAAGGAAGGAGGAGGGAGGGAGGGGGAGGGTGCACAATAGGCTATATTCTGTATGATTTCATTTCAAGGACATTCTGGAAAAGGCAAAACTATATGGACAAAATTCAGGTCAGTAGTTTTCAGAGGCTGGGTATGGGAAGAGGACTGACTACAAAAGTTGCCTAAGAGAATGTTTACCAGTGATATTCTATAACTTGATTGTGGTATTCCACTATTCTATGTATTTGTTAAAGTAATCAAACCATATACTCAGGAAGGGTAAATTTTACTGAATGTAAATTATACCTCAATAAACCTGATTTAAATTACTTAGCTTTCTTTCTAGTGGTAATCATAGCTCTCCACTATCTTTCTGCCATATCTCCCACTCCTCTGTTTACCTACCCTAATGTATTAGCCAAATGGGAACTATTACCTTTCTCATTAATAACAACAATAGCAAAAGCATTAGCAGTCAATATTTACTAGAACTTGCTATAGTCAGATATATATTATCTCATCAATCCTAAATACAACTTTTATGATGTAGACTCTACTGCTATCCTCATTTAGAGATAGAAACTGAGGCTCAGGGACATTAATAATTTGCCCAAGGTCCTTTAATGGCTAATATGTAACAAACATGGAATTTGAATTTAGGTCTACCTGACTCTAAAACTCTAATACTGGATTGCCTTCTTGTGATGTCTACCAGCATGTTTGCTCATGCTATTAATTCAGAGGTCTCTTTACTCAACTTCATTTGCCCTAATCTTATTTATCTTTAAAAGCAAAATTAATAAGCATGCCTCATCTGTAAGGTTTTTCCAAATTTTTCTCTCCAGCTGGTATAACCATCTCTTCCAAAGCATTAAAAGCTCTAATGCACTAAATTAGTTCCTTATTTACACACTTTATATATTCTATCTCCTGTTATAGTTATTGATCTACTTCCCCTATTTGAGGATAAGTTTCAAGGCTTATTTACCCTTGTGTATCCCTCTGTTGCCCAACACAATGGTTTGCATATAACTTACAGAATGAATGAATAAATGAATGATGGCTGGGACATTAGTCTAGCTATTAGCATAATTAGATATTAATGTTTCATTGTACCTAACCAATGGTTCTCTTATTAGCTTCTTAGAATGAGCTGTTAGTATATTACTGTGTCATCCTTCTTTCTTAAAATTAAATTTTCAGATAAGAAAATGAAAAGCTAAAAACTGAAAGGCAAATGCAAACCAAACTGCTGTCTGCTATTTTGGTATGAATTAAAAACAGGGTCAGGCCTGGCGCTGTGGCTCACGCCTGTAATCCTAGCTCTTGGGAGGCCGAGGCGGGCGGATTGCTCAAGGTCAGGAGTTCAAAACCAGCCTGAGCAAGAAAGAAATTAATTGGCCAACTGATATATATATAAAAAATTAGCCGGGCATGGTGGCGCATGCCTGTAGTCCCAGCTACCCGGGAGGCTGAGGCAGAAGGATCACTCGAGCCCAGGAGTTTCAGGTTGCTGTGAGCTAGGCTGACGCCACGGCACTCACTCTAGCCTGGGCAACAAAGCGAGACTCTGTCTCAAAAAAAAAAAAAAAAAAAAAAACAGGGTCAAACTCCTGGGCAACACAAGAAAGCAAATAGAATAGGGAGAGGTAAAGAAAGACTTGAATGTAACATGGCAGGGTAACAGGAAAAGTCATCAATAGGGAAGACAGTAGAGAGATGCCTGGCCATGTTCTTTAACAGGTCAATAATACCTTTAAAAAAAAAGGAGAGGAGGGTTTTCTAGTTTATAAAAGACTTAAGAGACATAATAACTAAATGCAATATGTGGACCATGAAGAAACCTTTGTCCAAACAAATTATTGTAAAAAGACACTGACACAATTAGTAAGTTTTAAACAGAAGAATAGATATTAGATGATGCTTTTAAGGAATTTTTGTTACTTTTATTACATGTAATAATGGTAACATGGTTATGTAAAGAATGTGTTCTTAGCTTATAAAAATGCATACCTAAGTATTTAGGGCTGAAACATCATAATACCTCAAATTTATTATACAATATTTTAGCAAAAAAAACAAATTATAAATAACTGTTAAGTATAGGTAAAGAACATATGGGAATCTCATTAAAGAATTCTCTTTCCTTACAGAAAAAAGAAGAATAAAATAAGATGCCACAGAAAAAAGTTTGGCCACTTTTGGCCAAGTTGCAATTCTTGCTCAAAAGCTCTGTGGATGACCCAAATCACAAATTAAAATCAGAGTCTGAAAAGTCCTGGCCCATTTTTGGTTTTGCTTAATTATACTCCACTTCATCTCTAGTTCCACTATTTAACATTTACTCTATCCTACACTGTTAGCTGTTTAGCTGCCTTGTTAAGATGGTAAACTTTTTGAGAGCAGACACAATGTGTTATTGATTTTTGGTACACAGAAGAATGCTGTATATCAAAAAGGAAACTGGTAGAATAGAATTTCTCTTGCATTTAGCTTGAACTTGGCACTCATGAAGAAAATAGAGGCCGGGCGCGGTGGCTCACGCCTGTAATCCTAGCACTCTGGGAGGCCGAGGCGGGTAGATCGCTCGAGGTCAGGAGTTCGAAACCAGCCTGAGCAGGAGCGAGACCCCGTCTCTACTATAAATAGAAAGAAATTAATTGGCCAACTAATATATATACAAAAAATTAGCCAGGCATGGTGGCGCATGCCTGTAGTCCCAGCTACTCGGGAGGCTGAAGCAGAAGGATTGCTTGAGCCCAGGAGATTGAGGTTGCTGTGAGTGAGGCTAAAGCCATGGCACTCACTCTAGCCTGGGCAACAAAGTGAGACTGTGTCTCCAAAAAAAAAAAGAAAATAGAGAATTTCTAAACAATAATTTTTCTTCATACTAAACTAGAAACTAATAGGCATAACATAGTATAGTTATGTTTGCATATAATTACAAATTCCTTAAGCCTCTGAAAAGTGAAGCATAAAACATCAATATTATCAACTATATAAGAGTTTCTCAAAGTATGATCTGATAACTCCTGGGAGTCAAGAGACCTTTTCAAGGAATCTGAGAAATAAAAACAATTTTCATAATAATACTAAGATATTATTTATCTTTTTTACTCTCATTCTCTAATGATTGAACAGTGGGGATTTTCAGGTGATTTGTGATGATGTCATCATTCTGAAGGCTAATAATAGAATGTGTATTTGTGTATTCTTATGTCTTAAAAATTCTTAGTTTTAATTTCTAATATGGTACTCACTGATAAGTATAAATTACATAAACCAAAGCTCTTTGGGGTCCTCAATTATTTTTAAGAATGTAAATGGTCCTATGACTAAAACTTGAAAACTATAAAACAAATGCAATATTATTTTCTAAGCACTTCCTTCTCACTGTCATCCTCAAAGGTTTAGGCATGTGTTTATGTGAGTGCATGGGCACCACTTTATCTTGCCCTTTTGATTCTTATATGCCTGTTGTTCCTGCCATTTCTGAATCTGAAAGATACAAGTAATAGTAAAAGCAAATCAAAGCTCCTTGCTTAGTAAGGTTACTCCAAATATGATCTTAGGCAAAAGGTATACACTGAATAAACCTTCAAACTTTCAGGTTAGGAAATTTCTGCTTTCTCTCTAAGACATGGACTGAAGAACTTAGGGAAAGGGAAAGATTGAGGGATAGGGTAAAAATGAGTGAGGCTGATTACATGACAGTTTTCTGAAGATACCCTCCCAGTATAATTCAGAATTCTTTGGGGAACGCTGCTTTATTTAATGACATATTGGGAATGAAAAGAACATAAGAAATGAATATTGAAAGTGATTAACATAAGAATTACTTCTGTGTGGGTTTCTACCATCCTTAGAATCATCTCTTCTACTCCCCTCAGCTCCTTAGAAAATGATTATCAACTATGTGGGAAATCCAAAAATTTTATTGAGTTGTTTTCTAAACTCTGAAGAATTTCAATTGTTAGACAACTGTGGGTTAGATCACGATGGGTGGGCTTGACCACAGCAGATATTCACATTTTTCTGAAAAAAATTCAAAAATTTTACTACTTGGTAAATATCCTCTGAAAATTTAGATTCTCTTATCACATCATCTTACTTATAAAGGATTCTCTATAAAATGGAAAGTCATAATGCCTTTAAGCAAAGCCTAATAATTTCTATAAATCATTACCTTAGATAACAGCTTGTCAAATAAGCTATCCATTATCGCTACAAGCTTAGCTGATATTTCAGCTATGTGGTCATGGTAGTCCTGTAAAGAGAAATAATATTGTATTTTAAAGTCCCTGGGATACATCTAAAAAATACTTAACAATTGAGGAACTAAACTTATGAAACTTCAATAGAAAACATATAAAAAAGTACCTTAGTGATATGATCAAAATGCCTAAGCATGCTATATTGCTTAGGTGGTAGTCGAGCTTCAAAATGAGCCCGGATCACAGGAATGTAGTGCACAATTAACTGCAAACATCGCGAAGACAGAGCTAAACACCCAGGAAGTGGGGATATAATGGAGAAACAAAAAAAGATATTAGTTGATTTCAATTACAAATCAAATTAAGTAAAAAATGTCAATTTTATACAGATTCAGTTTATTTCATAAATGAAGAACACTGTGGCAGAAGGCAACACTTTTCATTTCACATAAAAAAATAATTTGGTACTGAATAATGTAATGACCATGCTGCTTTCACAATGGACTCAAGTTGTGAGCATTACCAATATGAAGATGGTAATGGGACAACTGATCCTCTTCTGACATTCAGATACCTTTCACCCCAAAGTACTTCATATTCATTACATCTTAACATTTTCTAGAATGGTACAACTTCAAAATAACTTATACTTGTTGGAATGGAAATTCCTCAAAACATTTTCCCCAACATTAGTTTTTCTATGATGATAATATATAAAAGAGTAAAATGGCATCTGCCATTTTTAGAGCCTTTGATTAGAACCATGAAAACATCAGATATAATAAAAACACAATGAGTACAGTGACATCATTGTAACACCTCAGCATGTGAATTAAATGCAAGAATCCATACCCAAATTTTTTGTAGTTATTGTTTTTAGTCCAACAACTTGCAGTGCACCAGCTCCAAGAACTAATTGGCAACTTCTTGAATTGAAGTACTAACAAAAGAAGGAGAAAAAAACCCAAAAAATTCATTAAAAACTATTCTTTATATGCTGGCAATGTGCTTTTTAAAAATACATTCCTCTTTCCTCTCAAAAAGGACCAAATGAATTTTCTAGTAGAAGCAATTAAGATCTACTTATACAATGACAAAAAAGGGGGGCGGGGAATTCTAAATGATAATATTTATTGTCTGACAGGAAAGAAGTTGAGAAATTCTAAAAATCTATTTTAAGAAATTAATTTTAACTTGTATTCACAAAACTAGTTCAGTTTCAGTTGTTCTTATTAGAAAGTCCTGTTTACAAGAGTTTCAAAAATCTTTCTTGACTAAAACATGACAACTCAAGTTCAGAACATTATTAACTGATAGATTTGAGGTTTGAAAAAATTAAAGCCTTTTCTGTAAACTAGCAGTTAAAAATATCTCTCAATATAAAATGGCTGAATAAAGTTATCACATTTTCATTTTATATCAATGGTTCTGAAAGAATGATGCAAGAAAAATCTCTAACCTTAGTGAGATGAATTTTGTAAAGTTCAGTGAATTCCTTCCATGCACATTTGAAACCAGTCCAGGTTTTTTGACCTAAGTGGCCTCAGTCATGTTCAGCACCTAACGAACAAATCATCTCCTGTCTCCAATGTCATTAACAACTCTATGGGTGTAATGAGGAATCACTAAATGTGGAGTGAGAAGGAAGCAGCAGCTTTTTTCCAGTAATATGTTGTGATTCAACCACAATTGAATGTTATAAAACTAATGTCTTAAAGATAATTTGACCTTGAAATGTCTTAGAGTTGAAAGATTAGTCACACCTTAATCAATTAATTCTTCCAACTATTTCTCTATAATGGGGTAAAGTCATACATACCTTCAATAAATCTGACAGACGAGTAAGCATGTCAGTAGTAACGGATGGGATATTATCCACACACTGGCAATATTCAAGGATAATTCTTATTAATAGCAATACAGTTCTATAAGAAAAGAAAGATTGAAACAAGAAAATCAAACTCATTTGGCATATATAATAAAAATCAAATTACCAGTACAATGGATCTCTGAGGCTATAATGATCTTAGTAATTGTTAAATTATGTGCTTCATTCACAAGTGCAGCAGGTTCTGGATTAGAGTAAGGCAACAGGTGCCTAGGGTGGAAAATTTGAGAAGGCATTTACTGAGAGTTGCAGGGTCAGCACTTGACTGACACTGAGAATGAGTAGCTCCTTAAATTTTGTGCTACACGCATAGCAGTCTCTGTATAGCGTTCTCATTTAGGAAGTCTCTTCAGTAAAGCAGGTATTTCATTCCTTGGCCATTTCAGAAACACTGACAAAAAGCCTATCCAGTGTTTCTGTTTAGTAGGTCCTAAATCATAACTATTAGTGAAGGGAACCTAGTCCTGATTTTCTTAGTGAGATGAGAAAGAAGCTACAATGGCTTCCAAAGACAACATATCTCTAGGAATTTTATTGTAGGTCACAAAAGGTTCTCCAAAGATGATAAAAGTTATTAGCTCAATAGCAAGACATGTCACAAGTTGAAAAGACACACTACTGAGAGGTTAAATAAGATTGAAATTAAGGGGAAAAGATCTATTCACCAAGTTCAACAAGAGGCTCAGAAATAAGAGATCTACATAAAATAATGGTTTATATAATAAAAGTCTGAAGAATATCAGGAACTAGTGATTCAAGAAAGATACTGTCTAGCCTTTATAACAGTTTGTCAGACCGTATATTACTCTGTATGCATACTCCTCCAGTCTGCTTTACTGGGCATGAGTCCATTGCTTATCTTTTGTAATCTTCTCTCAGAGGTTATAATAGTTTCCCTTTAGCCAAGGAGTTTGGTTTTTTGACAACAGACTTTTTGACTAAAAAGCTAGACAAGCAAGATAGTCAGAGGGGACCATTTCCATCAAGCACATGAAGAGCAAACATAAAATGGGTAGGTAAGAAGGGAAATCAAAATTAGATTGAAGGGATGAGATTACAGGAAGGCTATAAAAATCTTTGCCTACCAGAACTATGGGGACTTAGTTTAGAATGGGAAGACTTTAGAGACTTAAATACAGATTGAGAAAAAGCATTAATTTTATACATACTTTTAGAATGCTTATTATGGTATCAATAAAAATAAAAAATGATAAGATAGAATCTTTGACTCCTTTGAGGAACTCAAACTAGGGAGATATATACATAAATAAATAATTCTATTATATCTCAGTAAATGCCATGATAGAAGGACATAGAGTTACATTCTTCCTGGACCAGGTGGCTACTTCAAAAAAGGCTTAGACAGTGACAAACAACAAAGAATAAAAGTGAAAAAGAATGCTAGTCTAGATATTGAGAAACAGAACTAGATTCTAATTCTGACTACATTTGGGTCACTTTATGTTAATCACTTAACCTTCTAAGCTTCAATTCTCTTAACTGTAGAAAGGAAACAATCCCTGATATATCTATTTTACAAAGTGTTGTAAAGATCATATGTACATGAAAATATTTAAACTGTGAAAGGCTGTTAAAAAATATGAAGATATTATTTTAATTACCAATTCAATACAAGGCATGTAGTACCAAATAACAATGGGATTGTTGGTATGCTTCTTAGTTAACTTTAATTTGAGGTACTTTCATTGGTAAAAGCATAAAAAAAACCATGATTCAAATGATCATGATGAAAATAGCTACCTATAACTGTCAATTTATTAGGTGCTAGAACTCTGCTAAATGCTTTATATGCATTACTTGTTTAATGTTCACAGTTTAATTCTACATATAGTACTATTTCTATATTTTGTGGGCTCCAGAGCCCACAACTTTAACTACTATGCTATACTACACACTAAGAAAGCTACAGGAAAAAAGACAGAAAGACCTGGATAACATCATGGATCCACTATATCACTCTTAGACTGTCTAGATTTCTTATTATATGAAAAAAAAATGAAGCCCTTTTTTGTTAAGTCAGTGTAGGCCTTAATGGATAAAGCATACTACATATCATAGAAAATAAAATAAATCTGTAACACTTCCTTAAATTCTTGATAGGATTTAAAATTATTAATCCAAAATTTCCAACTCACTTCAAGGGGGAACCAGAAGACTTATCCTTTAAATAATTGGCTCAAATAATGAAGAAAAATGTGTCACTCACCCAACAACAGCATACTGTTGTCCCTCAACAACGAGAACCTCAGCTGGTTTCCTTTCTTCTGTAGCTAGAGAGTAAAGCAAAGAAACAAAAGAGACAAGGGTACAAGATGAAACAAAATACTGGAGAAAAAGCTTAAGATAGTTCCTATTTAGGGCCTAGAACTATCTAATTTCTGAAAATAAATACCTACATTTTGGGAAGCAATTTGACACAGCGTAAATAAAGTATATTGGGAGTTAGATTTGGATTTGAGTCCCAATATTGCCAATTACTGGATGCATGACTTTGGGCCAATAACTTAACCTCTTTGAGTCTCATTATCTATATCTATTAAATGCATATAATACTATCCGCTTTTTAGGATTGTTGTTTATGGTAGAGATAATGATTATAAATTGCCTATCCCTTAAGCCTGGCACATGGAAATGATCAGTAGTTAAAAAATGTTTAGAAAGGCAGAACTAGCATTTCAACTGGTTATCTTTACTATAATCGTGCTTAGAATACAAGTTAATTTCCAAATTCAATGAAGAGATTATATATTTAATTATCAAGATTTCAACCCAGAAGTTACTTTATTTTCATTATGTGGTACTTATCATTATAAAACAAAATTCAGCATATTGAAGTGAAAAAAACAGTAGACCAGATTATTGCCCTGAATCACACAAATTTAATAGATTACCATGGGAAAGTCATTATGCTTCCCTAAGCTTCAAGCGCTTTTGAGTTGTAAGACTTGAAATGTCTACTTTCTCTTTTCTTTTAAGCAAAAAAATTCCACGTGACATATATTTTAATCATAATTCACTCTATATGTCAGACCATAAATTTTTTGAGGGCAAGGACCGGGTCTTCAGCAATTCTCTATATTGCAGAGAAGTGGCATAGCATAGTAGTTAAGAGAAAGGGCCCTAAAGTCAGTCTGCCTAAATTTGAATCCTAGCTCTACCACTTCCTAGTTGTGTGACCTTAGGCAAGTTGTTTAACCTCTTTGTGCCTTAGTTTCTATATTTGTTAAATGCTAATACTAACAGTGTCTAGCTCAAGGACCTGTAAATGAGACAACACATGTAAAGTGCTTAGAACAAACAGTGTAAGCACTCAATTAATACTAGCTGCTATCCATTAATACTATCAATTAATACTAGCTGCTATCCATTAATACTATTAATTAATACTAGCTGCTATCCATTAATACTATTAATTAATACTAGCTGCTATCATTTTTCCCCAATGCCTAGCTGAGTAGCTAGTAATTAAATGGATGATAGATGAATGGATAATAATCCAGGATCCTTAACTTGATAAGAATTAGTAAAATGTTAATGGACTTCTAAATAGCATACACCCTATGTGTTAAGAGAGAGACAGAGAAGACTGAATTAGTCAGGTGTGGTGGCACTAGCACCTGTGTAGTCCCACCTACTCGAGAGGCTGAGGCAGGGTCACTTAAGCCCAGGAGTTTGAGGTTGCAGTGAACTATGATGATGCCACTGCATTCTAGCCCAGGCAACAGAGAAGCAAGGTATGTAAGAGAAACCTCCTTTTAGAGAGAAACTTTAATATCAGTATCCTTCTAAGAAGTGAACATGAATAGTTCACTTCGCAGAAAAAATACATAGTTAACAGTTAATCATTCTACATTTATGATTTTAATTTAAAAATCATTGTTTGCATAACAGTGGAATTATATAAAAGACCATTAGCTGCCCAGAAAATATGTCCCAGTTATCTAGCACAGCACCTTGCATAATGGGAAGTCAAGCAAATATCGCTTGAAAGAATAGATGTGTAATGTCTTATAATTTTAAACTAGTGATTTAGAATAGTCACTGTTTTATTTTTCCTTCATCTTTTCGGGCTATTTCAATGCTTTTGTTTTGCTAATACCATATAACCAATTAAAAAATTTAACCACCAACCAACACTGTTACCTATTAAAAATGATCATAACAGAAATGTACTTATTTCCTTCAGTTCTTCTCTCTGCCCTATTTTATACCTGTCCTTAACTCCCTCTCTCCTGTCATAGTGGTAGAAGATACAGCCTTTCTCTTGAACTCTGGATTCAACACCAGGTGCCCTGCCCCATAAATCACTCTCAATCTCTCTAATTTCTCCTACCTCTTTAGCTACCACTTCATCAGTCACTTTTCCTTCACAGCGAAACTTGTTGAAAAAGTAGGCTACATTTGTCTACCCTTCCTTACCTTTCCAGTTACTTACCACTGAACTGCTAACACTCCAATGAATTACTAAGACTGCAAATGATCTATGTGTTCAATGGTCACTATTTGTATTTTCTCAGTTTTTCTCTTACAGTGTAGTTTCATTTCATGCAAATGTGAAGTATACAATTTAAAAATACTTCTATATAGAAATATTAAACTTTCATTAAATGCATAAAATTTGAAATAATGCAACTGCCTCCTCTGTCCAAAATATTCAAGAACTTCATAATATCAAATCTGGTATTACAAGATGTGTTGTGCTCAGGAGTTCGAGACCAACCTGAGCAAGAGTGAGACCCCCGTCTCTACTAAAAAAACAGAAAGAAATTAGTTGGACAACTAAAAATTTATATAAAAAATTAGCCGGGCACGGTGACGCATGCCCGTAGTCCCAGCTACTCAGAAGGCTGAGGCAGGAGGATCACCTGAGCCCATGAGTTTGAGGTAGCTGTGAGCTAGGCTGACACCATGGCACTCTAGCCCAGGCAACAGAGTCAGACTCTGTTTCAAAAAAAAAAAAAAAAAAATCAGAATTATAACTGTTATCTCTGTCTCAATATATGATATAAAGAAGCTAACTAGTGTACACTGAATGAATATATGTCTCTAAACAATATGGTATAATAGTTAAGAACATAGCCATAAAATTATATAAAGCTGATTTCAAATCCCAGCTCATCATTTATACAAAATTCCTTAACCCTTCTAAGCCTTAAGCCTCCTCACTGTTACACAAGGTAACAATAGTACCATCATCATAGGTTGTTGTTATGATAAACTGGAATAATGCATGTAAAGCACATAGTCCAGTGTCTGGCATATGATTAACACTCAATAAATACTTGAAATTATTATTATAAATTTCCATAGATACTTTTCCTGTCAACTATTTACTAATTAGGCTGGGAGTATTAGTTTCAGGCTTTTCGATATGCATTGTCAATTAAGGAAATATTAAGCATTCATATAAAATAAACAAATATAAAATTGAAAGAGAATGTGTGAATGAATACACATACCTCCTAATTTTTTTTCAGGTAAAGCAATCTTTCCATCTGATATAGAATCAACAAGATCCTGAAATTCTGCAGGAACATCAGCTTGCTTCCAGCGCTCATTGTCTAAGAGGAGACTGAGTTTGGTTTTTCTCTCTTCGTGAAACCTATTTACAAATTTATTAGCTTGGCTCTGAAGTGCTCCAAGTAATGACATACTTTTTCTTCCACAGATCTGTTCAGTGTCTAAAATGAATGTTTCCATTAATCTAGACAGTGTTATGAATTCCATGGAATTTAGCTTCTCAAGAAAACCATCCTAAATTTTAAAGACAACACAGAAATCATGACAGAGAGTTAGTACAACACCAAATATGAATGAGCTACAAAACCAACTTAGTTTGAAAACTGCTAATTGTATTATTGTATAATATATAATTATATTCATTAATAAGCATTATCACTTTAATATGATTTATTAAAATTTAATTATAAACATATATGCATTTAGAATTATACCATGAATACATATATGTTAGAACATATGTATTTTATCATATGGTTAATTATTTTATCAAGATCCTCTAGAAAATAAATCTTATAAGGAAAGTAATAATGGCTAAGGACATAGTAGACACACAGATAATATATACTGAATAGATATTTTTCAGGCAAACAATATCTTAGTGTAGCAATTTTATATATTCATTATAGATTTTAAAAGTACTTATCTACTAGAGTACAAGGTACAAAATCTTTCTCTATGAATATATCATTTTAATGAAATTTCAACACTTCAGACCCAGAAATTGAACATGAAAAGCTTAAGATGTCTAAATTTGATTCTGATCCCTTTATAACTAATAAAATAGCTCAAATAAATTCAGATTATAATATAAAATTTTCACAATGTTGAAGTTTAATTTTATTACAAATTTGTTTGACTATGTATGTATATATACGTGTATAAATATATAAAACAGAATATTAATTTAAATTATTAACATATTTCAAAATAAGTCCTTCAATCATTTATTTGAAAAGAACACTTAATAATTTTTCCTATTTCTTTTATTTATTATTTATTTTACATCTCGACATCTAATAGACAATACCATTAGTACCATTAACTGTTATTAAGTGTTAAAAATATAATACGCAGTATGGGGAATATAAGGGTACAGGCAAAGACATAATTCCAGATCTTCAAAATAACTAGACTATAAATAAAATATAAATATGCTAAAGTTTTTATGAAAATAACTACCTTTGCTCTTGACATGAGAAATTTGACGGCTCGATCATGACATATATCTGAAGCACTGTACAGTAACTCCTGGATATTATTTGCCAGCTTTCCTAGCTCTAAGTCAGTTAATTTCATGTCTTCACTGACCCTGAAAATGAAAAAATGAGACTTAGGGAGAGTTGTAAACACAGTATTCTTCATAAGAGACATATCAATGAAAAGCATGAAAAATTTGTAAAATTCACATTTGAGGAAAAAACACAAAGACTACTAATTCCATGCCTATGGTTCAGTTTGGTGTTACCAAGAGCCACGTTTAGTGCTTTAACATCATTTTTCTCCCTTTCAGTTGCATTAAAATAATTTTCAAAGCTATTACAAAGAGGCTCTGATATATACTAATTTGAGGCGAACCACTACTCTGGGTTAATGTATTAAAGAATATTATTTTTCCTTTCCTATTTCATGCCCAGAAAAGTATTTACTCTTTTGTATCTATATTAACATTGCAATAATCTTATAGAATTATAGATTACTTTGACAAATAATATTTTGACAAAAGAAAATAGGAAGAGTCTACCACTAACAGAGTTAAAATGTCAGATATCACTTATGCATGTTCTATAATATATCTATGATTCAATTATATACTGCAAAAACACTTAATAGAGGAATAGAGCCCTTGTATGAAAAAACTAATTAGGGCCACACATACATATATTAAATTAATTCATTGCCTCTTTGAGTAGTTCCCAAATATTTATGTGCCTATTGAACATAGAAATAACCATCTATAGAACCCATGTTTCATGCTATGGCAGCATGTGATTGGGGGAAAGCCAGAGAAGGTTCAATGTATAAAGTGAGCCACAACGGAGGTAAGAGGGGAAAGACATAAACTATTAGACTGCATCCGGTTTAAAAGAATCTCAAATGGTATGGCAGACTGCTAGCTATCTTTCAATATCTGTTCTGTCTTCTGCCACAACAGTAGTTTTAGCTGGGCAAATAGCCAACAAGGGAAAGACTCTATTTCTCAAACCTCCATTATACTTAGATATAGTTAGGTGATAATATGCTGGTCACTAGGATGTGAGTGGAAGCAATAAGTGCAAATTCTGAATTGTGATCTTCTTTAAAAAGAAAATAAAATATAAACAAATTTATGTGAAGGCAACAGAGAACTAACAAATCTAAAATGTATATGGATCTGCGAAAGATCAAGGATAGTCAAGGCAATCTTGAAGAAGAAAAGGTAGAAGAAATTACTCTTCTAGACATTAATATTTACTAAAACCTACAGTAACTAAGACAATTTACTTAATGGTAATGGTGTAAAGACAGAAAAATGAAAAAAAAGTCCAGAAACAGATACACATATATCTGAATATTTCATTTATGGCGAGAGTGGCACTATAGTATAGAGCAGTGAGCAAGATAATTTTTTCAATAAATGGTGCAAGGTCAAAAACATAGCCACATGGGGCAAAAATACTTAGCCTTATACTATACATAAAAATCAATTACAGATGGATTATAGATCTAAATGTGAAAGAGACAATAACAGAACTTCTAGAAAATAACATAAGAGAATATCTTTTTTTTTTTAATTTCAGCATATTATGGGGGTACAAATGTTTAGGTTACGTGTGTTGCCTTGCACACCCCCCCCCAGAGTTAGAGCTTCAAGCATGTCCATGCCCCACATGGTGCGTATCGTACTCATTATGTACGTATATACCCATCCCCTCCTCCCTCCCTCCCATCTGCCCGACACCCAATAAATGTTATAGGAATAGGAATGTTATAGGAATATGTGCACTTAGGTGTTGATCAGTGAAACCAATTTGCTGGTGAGTATACGTGGTGCTTGCTTTTCCATTCTTGGGATATTTCACTTAGTAGAATGGGTTCCAGCTCTATCCAGGAAAATACAAGAGGTGCTATATCACCACTGTTTCTTAAAGCTGAATAGTACTCCATGGTATATATATACCACATTTTATTAATCCACGCATGTATTCATGGGCACTTGGGTTGTTTACACAACTTTGCAATTGTGAATTGTGTTGCTATAAACATTGAGTACAGATGTCTTTTTTATAGAATGTTTTTTGTTCTTTTGGGTAGGATGCCCAGTAATGGGATTGCTGGATCAAATGGTAGATCTACCTGTATCTCTTAAGGTATCTCCATATTGCTTTCTACAAAGCTTGCACTAGTTTGTAGTCCCCACCAGCAAGCAGTGTATGAGTGTTCCTATCTCTCTGCATCCATGCCAACGTTTATTGTTTGGGGACTTTTTGATAAAGGCCATTCTCACTGGAGATAAGTGATATCTCACTGTAGTTTTGATTTGCATTTCCCTGATGATTAGAGATGTTGAGCATTTTTTCATATGTTTGTTGGCCATTATTCTGTCTCATAAGAGAATATCTTTTTTTTTTTTTTTTTTGAGACAGAGTCTCACTTTGTTGCCCAGGCTAGAGTGAGTGCCGTGGCGTCAGCCTAGCTCACAGCAACCTCAAACTCCTGGGCTCGAGCGATCCTTCTGCCTCAGCCTCCCAAGTAGCTGGGACTACAGGCATGCGCCACCATGCCCGGCTAATTTTTTGTATATATATTTTTAGTTGGTGAATTAATTTCTTTCTATTTATAGTAGAGACGGGGTCTCGCTCTTGCTCAGGCTGGTTTTGAACTCCTGACCTTGAGCAATCCACCCGCCTTGGCCTCCCAAAGTGCTAGGATTACAGGCGTGAGCCACCACGCCCGGCCCCCAAGAGAATATCTTTAAAGCCTTAAAGTAGGGAAAGATTTCTCAAATAGGATACCAAAAAAGCATAAAAGAAAATAATGAGTCATAGGATTATATTAAAATTAAGAACATCTGTTCATGAAAGACCCCAATAAGAGAATAAAAAGGCAATCCACAAAGTAGGAGAAGATATTTGCTATATGGATAACTGACAAAGGGCTTACACTGATATTGTATAAAGAAAGAATTCTCATAAATCAGTAAGAAATAAGACAAACTAATAGAAAAGTTGGTGAAGGCCTTGAATAGGCACTTCACAGAAGAGGATACTCAAACCACCAATGAATATATGAAAAGGTAATCTCCTACCAATCATCAGGGAAATAAAAATTAAAACTACCGTGTTTCCTTGAAAATAAGACAGGGTCTTATATTTATTTTTCCTCGAGAAGACACCCTAGGGCTTATTTTCAGGGGATTTTTTTTTTTTAAGTACGGTACAACAATCTACATTTATTCAAATATAATTAAGTCATCGTCTTCTGGAACATCATCATAACTCTCCAAACCCCGAATTCCATCCTGAATTTCTTGAGACTCTGTTTCCTTTAGAATCATTGGGCCCAATCTCTCATATCTCTCATATCGAGAGCTCTCATATAGAGCTCTCACAGGGCAGATGAGAAGGGCTGCTGGTCTTCTTTACTGCTCCGCGACGAAATGCGTGGGTTGTGCAGATAGGTTGCATAGCCACGCCCATCGCTAGGTCTTATTTTCAGGGTAGGGCTTATATTGTGCAAATGCTTAGAAATCCTGCTAGGGCTTATTTTATGGATAGGTCTTATTTATGGGGAAACACGGTACTACACCTAAAACATGCCCACCAGAATGGCTAACATCTAAAAGACTGACAATACCAAGAGTGAAGGAAGATGTGGAGTGATATGAACTCTTCCACACTTCTGAGTGGACTATAAATGAGTACAACCACTTGAGAAATTGTTTGACATTAGCTAAATTGAACATTCATTTATCTTATTTATTCCCAAGTATATATGCAACATAAACGCTTGTAACATGTGCACCAAAGATATCTACAAGAATGTTCATGACAATCCAAAATGGAAATAAACCAAATCTTACCAACAGTACAACAAATACCTTGTAGTGTAGTCATAAAATAGAATATTTGTATACAAACAAAAATAAAACTACTGCTACATGCAGCAAGTTGGACAAATATAATAAAATAGAATGAAAGACAAATATAATAAAATAGAATGAAAGAAATCAGAGATGAAAGAGCAAATGTATGACTCCATTTATATAAAGTTTAAAAACTGAAAAAATCATTAGTTTTCATGATTTCCTTTCAGAAGGGGCAGTGTAGTAGCACAGTGGTGGGAAGGATGGTGTGTGGTGGTCTGGAGAGCTGGCAATTGTTCTAATTCTATACTAATGTATTTGGGGATAATTGAGCTGAATACTTATAATTGGTACATTTTCCTATATGTACATTATACCCTAATTAAAAAGTCAAAAGAGCAAAACAAATAAGGAGGGTACTATTCCTTCATTCTCTCCTTCCTGCTGCTAGGAATACAGGTAAAATGATAAAAGCTGGAGTAGCCACCTTAGACACAGATGGAAGCTACACACTTCAAATGGTAGCACTGTCTTCTCAGCTAAGGATTTCTTAGCTCTGAAATGTGACCAAGAGAGAAATAAAATTCTATGTTGTTTAAGCTATGAGTTGTTTGGGGTTGTTTTGAGACAGTCTTAATCTGCCACCTGGGCTAAAATACAGTGGTGTCATCATAGCTCACAGTAGCCTCCAATGTGTGGGCTCAAGTGATCCTTCTGCATCAACCTCCCAAGTAGCTGGGACTACAGGAATGTGCCACCATCACACTCAGATGATTTTCCTATTTTTTTTGTAGAGATGGGGTCTCTATGTTGCTGAGGCTGGTCTCAAACTCCTCGCCTCAGGCAATCTTCTCCCCCAGGCCTAGAAAAGGTGTGAGTCATTGCACCCAGCCTTCAGCTATACAGTTTTTACATCTTTTTAAAGCAGCTTTAGATTTTAGACTGCACCCTAAATAGTAAATGTGATAATATTAGCCTGAATACAGAAAAAATATTTTTATAACTATGTAGCTCAGGTTTTCTTTGTTTGTTGAGAAGGGACATATTAAAGCTGACTTGATGTTGTAACTGTGACCTTTATAAGCTTCTAGACCATAAGGTGATTTATGTAAAGACAAACAAAAGTATTGAATTACTGTTATTCTTAACTTATTCTTAACAATAACTAAGTCCAAACTATATTCTTGGACCAGAAAGAGTTTATTGGTTTTGTTTTATTTTTGTTGTGTTGTTTTTTTGATATCAGAGATTATTGAGACAATTGGTGAACTTTGAATGGGATCTGTGGGTCAGATGGTAATAATGTATCAACGTTTTCTTATATTTAATTGGTATACTATTATTATATAGGAGAGTGTTCTGGTACTTAGGAAATATACACTGAAGTACTTGGGGATAATGTGGCATCATGTCTGCAACCTACTGTCTGCAACCTACATTCAAATGTTTCAGAAAAAATGTTAACAGAAGAGAGAGAGAAAGAAAGAAAAGGAGAGAAAAAGGGAGGAAGAAAAATAGAGGGCAATGTGGTAAACTGTTAACAACTGGGAAACTGGATGAAGGAGAAGTGAGTGTTTTTTGTTCTATTCTAGCAACTTTTCTGTAAATTTGAAATTATTTCAAAATAAGAAGTTTTAAAAAATAATGTTTAAAAAGACAGTGTGATCCACTTGGAAATTCATGTCTTTGAAAAACCAATGGTTGTAAATCAAACATAACTTCACCATATATAAAATACAAAGATGACATAGTAGAAGAAAGAAAAATGACCAAAGCAATAAGTAACCTGGGTTCCAATACAAGTCCTGCCACTAATGACTTTAACTCATCTAAGCTTTCTGGGCATCAGTTACCTTATCACTGAAATGAGGGCATTTAATTAAATGATTTTTTTTTTTTTTTGAGACAGAGTCTCACTCTGTTGCCTAGGCTAGAGTGCCATGGCATCAGCCTAGCTTACAGCAACCTCAAGCTCCTGGGCTCAAGCAATCCTTCTGCCTCAGCCTCCCTAGTAGTTGGGGCTACAGGTATGCACCACCATGCCTGGCTATTTTTTCTATACATTTTAGTTGGCCAATTAATATTCTTTCTGTTTTTAGTAGAGATGGGGTCTCACTCTTGCTCAGGCTGGTTTTGAACTCCTGATCTTGAGCGATCCATGTGCCTCAGCCTCCCAGAGTGCTAGGATTACAGGCTTGAGCCACTGTGCCCAGCCAAATTAAATGATCTTTAAAGTTCCTTTCTAGCCTTGAAATTCTGTAATTATCAATTACTTCCAATGCTTACCTCCTTACCTTTCACACATTTTTGAAAAAAGATGTTTCATAAAATTAATATATTTTTGTTGAATTCTAATATATTTTTGTTAAATTCTAAAGTTTACATGGTTGTTCAAAAAAAAATGGAATAATCGATCTTACTGAAACAATTAATAAGATGACTAAAAATCTTGTCAATTTGGCAGTAGTCACTATACTTACATAATATCCACTCCTCCTGGAGTAGCAGATGATGATGTTTGCTCTTTACTGGATGAAGAATCAGTAGTACATTCTGGCTCTGATACCGAATCACTGCTGCAGGGCTCACTATTTGGAGATGCATTTCTTTGAGAGGCAGTGTCGACTGTCATAGCTGTCAATTCACCCTCACTGAATGCATCACTTATAAACATGCCTTCATGGATTAAATAAGCCACCTCTGTGTCCAATGAATTATCTTTTGCAGCATTCTTCTGTTGTGAAATCTCCTCCAATTCTCTAGTCCTTTGGTTTTTGTCAAGAACTGAGAGAACAACACTGTGAATAATATTTAACGTTGCCTACAAGAAAACAGGATACACTTTTAAAGGATTTAAAATACCTTGCACCTAAAGTTCCCAAAAGTGAATTCCAGGCATGTAATTTTGAACATCTATGATCATGCATAAATCAAAATCATATATATCAGAATTTCTATCAATCTCTTATTATACAGTAAAATTGGCTAAAGCTTAGAAACAGAGTTCCTGTATTTTAACTAATTTTTAAATGCAAGTCCCTCTAAAATATATTGCATATTCTCTAACCTCTTAAACAGTTCACACTGAAAATAACTTGCCTGTCAGAGAATCCTATTAGGTGACATGCCTGCTTAAAAGAAAAATAATTTGTATTGCTCACCATGCCTAGCCCCTTGCCCATCTTTCTCCTCATCTCATACCTTCTCTCATTTACCCAAATATTGTGGTTCTCTTTCTATTCTTCTATTACTCTAAGATTATTCCCACCTCAGTGCCTTTGCTGTTCCCTCTACCCAGTATGCTTTTCACCCTGATCTTTGTACGTATTTCCTTCTCATCGCTCAGGTTTTGGCATAGATGATCACTTCCTGAAAAATGCTTTCCCTAACTGTCCTCCCAACAACTCTATCCCATTAGCCAGTGTAAAAACAAAACAAAACAAAAAAAACCTATTTATCATTATCTAAAATTATCTTTTTAAAATTTGTTTATTCTAGGTTTCCTTCTACTATAATGTTAGCTCAATGAGATATTATAATCCTAAAGCCTAAAACAGTGCCTGGCAAATAGGAGGTTCTCAATAAATACTAAAATGTACTAAAATACTAAAATAAATACTAGATGAATGAAGAGTAAACTTATGTAAATTAATGTTGTGTTTATGGACTATTAAGAAATAAGGGGCTACTTGCCTATTTTAACATTCATGGTTGCATTTTCATAACTTGTTTCTCCCTTTCTCAAAACATTGCTTTCATTTTTTGGAATCTACATAGTTCTAGAAAAGCAGGCTCCAACTTCAAGTCTACAAAGTCAGGATAAGGTTCTAGGCTAGTCCAATCAGTACATGGACCCACTATCACCTGAGCTTAAAGCTAAAGAAGATACATGGAAGACAGAATTGCAAAGAAACAAAACCAAGGCTTGATGACATTATCAACCTAAAGGCTGACCTATCAAGCACCTAAAGGCTGACCTACGTCTGGATATTTTTCAGTTATCTGAGCTAATATATCCCCTCAATTGTTTGAGACACTCTGAGCTGTGTTTCTTGTTATTTGGAACTGAAAGCATTCTAAGTGAGACAATAGCCAATATAGTACACAGCAGATACAACCTTCAAAAACTTTAGTACCAAAGTGTCTATGGATAGCGTATTTCTCACTTTCACTAACTTCTGTATTGTCACAAATTTTCTGCCTGCTACACTCCACTACTACTGCTTTTAATCCTTACTACTGTCCAATCTTTGATGTGCTTACTTCCCTATCTTGTTTTGCTTTTCTTCTTCCTTATCTCTTCTTTCTTGCTTTTCTTTTGTAACTTTTTTTAAAATAAAAAGACCATGATGATGGATATAGTCTTTCCTCCCCAACATCTATTCGATACCACATGTCCTCCATGGTATAGCAGCCATGTGATTTAGGTGGAACTGAGGCCACTTTTAGCTTCAAGTGGCAGTACTTAGTAGCCAATTGGGTGTACTTCCAACTTCCTTGCCTTGGAATTAGTTCAGAGTTGAGAAGAATATCCAGACCTGTACTAATCAGCGCATGGCATTTTTCTGACCACAGTGACTGGGCATGTGATCTAAAGTGGTTCAATCAATTAAAGCTAAGAACTAATGATGCCTAAGAAGAAAAACTCTAGATGAAAAATTCTAAATTGGTTCAATCAACAAAGAAATTTCATTTGATGACTGGAGAAAAAAAACTCTAGGTAAAAAATAGGAAGAAAAATTCCAGGTGATACAGAATTGTGGCAAATGTAGCAGACCTGGAGCTGATGAAGTCAACAAGGAGGAAGGCAGAACAAAATTTAAAACAGAGAAACTAAGCTGGGGAACCAAGACAAAATTATGTATAAAGCCCATCCTAGTCTTGGACTTTTTTAGTTACCTGAGTTACATTCCTTTTATCATTTAAACTAATTTGATGTAAATATTTTATCCCTTTTAATAGCAACATCCTAGCTGATACAGTAATAAATTTCTTATATACAGTATATCAGGTGTTCTCTTAGGGATTCTTCTCTGTTTTCATCATATCTGCAGTTTTAGAAATATGCTGATTATTTTTTTCCAATTCCAGAGCTGTTCTTGCTAAAGGATGCCAGAAGATCAGCCTTCTTGCTAAATGATGCCAGAAGATCAATCTCCAGAAAACAAGAATTTATGATATATAATAGGTTTGACATAGATACATGATTTAATTTCTGAACTATCTATTATACAGTCTGTAGAAAAATCCATGTTTCAAAAAAAACTAGGACAGCTAAACCAAATTTAACTTTCCAATCCTGAAAACAGAGTGAATGAAATATGTTGGTAATCATATTGATAAATCTCTAAAATGACAGCCTAGGATTATTTGTCCACACAACAAAATGCAAATCTGGCCAGGCATGGTGGCTCACATCTATAATCTTAGCCCTTTGGGAAGGCAAGGCAGGATTGCTTGAAGCCAAGAGTTCGAGACCAGCCTGAGCAAGAGTAAGACTCTGTCTCTACAAAAAATAGAAAAATTAGTACACCTGTGTCCCAGGCTACTCAGGAGGCTGAGGCAGGAGGATTGCTTGAGCCCAGGAGTTTGAGGTTGCAGTAAGCTATGATGACACCACTGCACTCTAGCCTGGGCAACAGAGACCCTGTCTCAAAAAAAAAAAAAAAAAGAAAGAAAGAAAGAACTAAAAAAATCCTTAAAAAGAATGTAAGCTCCATTTAAGGATTGTTTTCTTTTTCATCTATAAAAATCATCCTAATCTATGAGGTATACACAATATGAATTTTAATAAAAATTGAAAATATGATTAACAGCAAAGAACAAATTACGGAGGTCCCATACTTCCTGATCTCAAAACTTACTATAAGACTATGGTGATCATAATGGTGTGGTGCTGGCATAAAGACAGATATACAAAGCAATGAAATAGAACAGAAAGCCAAGAAATGAACCCTTGCATATGTGGTAAAATGTTTTCCAACAAAGGTGTCAAGACCATTAATTCAATGGAGAAAGGGCAGTCTTTTCAATAAATGGTGCTGGGAAAACTGGATATCCACATGCCAAAGAATGAAGACGGACCCTTATCTTATACCACATAGAAAAACTAACAAACAGATAAAAGGCCTAAGCATAAGGCCTAAAATTATAAAACTCTAAGAAGAAAATACACAGGAAAAGCTTCTTGACATTGGTTTTGGCATTGACTTCTTGGATATGAAACCAAAAGCACAGGCAACAAAAAATAGATAAATTGGACTACATCAAAATAAAAACACTTCTGTCCATCAAAAGGTACAATATAGGAAAAGGCAACCCATGGAATGGGGGAAAATATCTGCAAATCATATACCTGTTAAGGGGTTAATATCAGAATATATAAAGAAATCCTACAACTCAACAAAAAAACCAAACAATCCTATTAAATAATAGGCAAAGTTCTTTGAAGAAGACAGAAAAACCAATAAGCACATGAAAAAATGCTCAATATCACTAATGATTAGAAAAACGCAAATTAAAACCACAGTAGAATACCACTTCATACCCAGTAGGATGGCTACTCTCAAAAAAGAAAAAAAAATGCCCAGACAATAACAAGTGTTAGAAAGTATGCGGAAAAACTGGAACCCATGTGCACTGTTGGTTGGAATATAAAATGGGGTGGGGTAGCTGGTATGAAAAATAGTATGAGGATTTTTTTAAAAATTAGAAACAGAATTATCATATGATCTAGCAATTCCATGTCTAGGTATATAACCAAAAGAACTGAAAGCAGGGATTCAAAAAGATATCTGTATACATCATGTTCACGGCTGTATTATTCAAAATAGCCAAAAGGTGGAAGCAACCCAAGTGTCCACTGAGAGATGAGTGAATAAACAAAATGTAACACATACACATATGATGGACCATTATTCAGCCTTAAAAAGGAAAGAAATTCTAACTCATACTACAATATAGATGATGCTTGAGGACATTAGGCTAAGTGAAATAAACCAGTCACAAAAGGACAAAAAGAATTATATGATTCTACTTATATGAGGTACCCAGAATAGTCAAACTGATAGAGACAGAAGTAGAATGGTCACTGTTAGGGAGCAGAAGAAGGAGGGAATGAAGAGTTATTTTTTTAAATAGGTACAAAGTTTTAGTTTAGCAATATAGAAAGAGTTCTGTGCGTGCATGATAGTGATGATAGCAAAACAGTGCAGATGAACTTAACCTCACTGAACAAGTACACTTAAAAATAGTTAAAATGGGCCGGGCACAGTGGCTCACACCTGTAATCCTTAGCACTCTGGGAGGCTGAGGCAGGAGGACCACTTGAACTCAAGAGTTGGAGACCAGCCTGAGCAAGAGCAAGACCCCATCTCTCCTAAGAACAGAAAATAAGTCAGGCATGGTGATGTGTGCCTGTAGTCCCAGCTACTCAGGAGGCTGAGGCAGGAGGACCACTCGATCCCAGGAGTCCAAGGTTACAGTGAGCTATGATGACACTATTGCACTCTAGCCCAGGAGACAGAATAAGACTCTGTCTCAAAAACAGAAAAAAAAAAAAAGTTAAAATGATAAATTTTATTGCTATGTTTATTTTACCACAACAAAAAATTCAAAAAAATACATACTAAAAAAACACAGTTAACAGCAATATAGATCCTCAAGTCATTAATCATTCAAATATGAAATTTTCAAACCTCAATCTTTTTATTGTTTACCTGTTTAAAGTAGAAAGTCTTATTAAAATGTTCTGACTGAAATTTTGTGCTTTAATTTCTTTTAAAAAGTATAATTTACTTTTAATACTAACCTGAAATAAGG